CGGTCGGACTGGAATGGAATGGCCACACCAACATTGCGGACAATTGACAGCACGGCAAAGTCCCCTTCAAAGAGTGTCTCTTTGTTACTTTAATTCCGGTCGCCCTGCAGGGCATTCTTAACGTCCAAAAGTAGCCCAACTCGGCCATTAGCTGTCCCTCAGCTGCAGCTGCTGCTGGTGATGCTGCTGGTGATGCTGTTGTGCAGCTATTTGTTGTCAGCTCGCTCCTTATTAAAAGTTTGGCACACCAAAAAAAATGTTGATTAACTTTGCTGAACTAGGGAAAATTCCCATTTGGGTGCGCATTTTCCAGCACATGGATTTTCAGGTTAAAGTGTTGGAAATTATTGTTGGCATGGAATGATATTTTATATAGTAAATTGTTAGCATCCAAGTGCATGGGAACCGAGTTGTTCGGTAGTCTTTTCCATATGTGATGGAATTTATTTGATACGAAATTTCAATGTTTTTGAGATCCATAAAATTCGGTTCTTTTTGTAGTTCCGATTGGCAATAAATTGTATACAGTTTATAGATATTTTTCTATTTGTTTAAAAGCAGAGCATCTCCAAGTAGTTTCTTTTTTGTTATATTTTAATATATGCACTTTTTTTAATGAAAAACTTTTCCAACTTTCAAATAATTCCAGTTAGAGCACGGAAAATGCTCTCAACTATCGTGCTCGTATTGAAATTACAATGCATTCGGAGTGCTTTGGGGTTTGACATGGCATTGGGCTGGGTGGACGGTGGATGGGTGGCTGGCGCTGGCGCTTCAGCTACGGCCGGATGGTAGTCGGAGGAGTACTACTTGTCCCCTAAACTGCCGCACTTTGCATAAATTCCGACTTGAAGCATTGCACTTGCCTGACACTTTTTGTTTACCTACCATTACCATACCCATACCCATGCCATACAAAAACCGTACCCTACCATTCCCATTCCCATTCCCCCACCCATCATCCGATTTCCGTTTTCCACTCACTCACCTCATTCAACTTTGTTGTTGTTCATTTGTGGAAAAGTTTTGTCTTTGGTCTTGCTCTCGCAACAATTTACCGTTAAAAGCTCAACATTGTTACACTGGTTTTTCACTTTTCACTAAGTACCGGGTTTGTGTTACACATAAAAAATGAAACCAGACGGAACATCACGACTATCAGATGCCCCTTCATTCTAATGCAGCGGAAACTGTTGTAAATTATGCCGCACATAATTTCGTTCTTTTGTTATAAATTCTTCATAATAATAATAATCATAATAATACCGAGCAGGATCATTTTCGTCATATCGATAAATTAAATATAAAAATAAAAATATAAAACCTAATAAGCATCATTAAGCATAATTTATTTTGCTTTATTTCCTATAGACATTTATGAATAATTTAAACACTCAATTAAGCTCACAAGCAAGAACGAATATACCCTTTCGACTCTACCAGTATCGTGTATAAAAACTGCAGAAGAAAAATATAGCCGCAGGGAGAGAGGTGGAAGGAAGGGAAGGTGTACGTACGGATTGGATAGAGCAGGGGTCGTTGAGTAATCTGCTCAAGTTTTGCCAGCGTCTTTTGTGCAACGTGCGAAGTTTGTCACTCCGTCAGTGAAATAGCAACGGACCCGGACAACCCGAGCAACTACTACGACACCGGCAACGGCACCACTTTGTCTGTGTAGTGCATCCGTCCCTGTAATCCACTTGCAGTGAGAAACATTCACATCCACTCCATGGAGTCAGGTGATCCAGTAGGGTGGCGTCTCCGGTTGGCGGGTGGTCGCACCAGTTGTCGTGTCAACACAAGTTTTGCATTTGGCGATGTGTTTTTCTTCTGTGGCCCTTTTTTGCCACCACTACCACCTCCTCCTCTCGGACTCTTTGCCACCCCGCGCATCTCTTAAGTAGTTAAATGAGTTTTCATAGTTTTGGGGCAAACAAACCCTTTTCCCTGTCCATACAATACCCCCAACCCTTGACTCTGTTCTGTGTATGTGTGGAAAATTAATTTTTTCCCTACCCCCACTACCCCACCCCATGTATTTTATAAACTTGCCACGGGGGTGCATTTGCTTAGCGAAAAAGTTGTATATGCCAGCGGATTTTTTATTAAAATGTAGCAAGAAGTTGTAGTTTTCGAAAGAAACTTGGAACGTAATGAGAGTTATGGGCTCAGAGGGAATTTCAAAAGTTAAAAGAAAGCACGGGCTAACATGTGTTATACTTACGACTTGCCAAAGTTGTCTGCAAAATAACTTAAATAAATAAAATAAAATAGTTTAAGTACGCTTTGTTCTGTTTCCGTTATAGATTCAATGCAAGTGAGGGCTATTTATCCACATATATTCATAAGCTTTAATCAAGCTAATAGCCTGTGTCTCAGAGAACAGCAAACATTTGAGCACCATCATCATTATCATCAGCATCGGCATCTGGAGAGCACCACCAACAATAATTAATCAGTGGAAATATAATAACCGTCATTAAACTAAACAAACAAATTTTGCCATTCAAGGTTCGCCATTCGCATAAATTTCAATACACAACCAGGTACATTATATTTAACCCTGTCCAACCAGCCAACCAGCCAACCACTCGCCCACCCACCCACTCACCTGAATACATTTCCAATTAAACGGGAAAGTTTTCCGCACCCACAACCACAACCTACAGCAACCCACACTCGCTGCTTCAGTCATGGGAGTCTGGTAAATAATATTCCCGGGCAAAGCAAATGTTTAATGATATGAAATTAATGCGCAAATATCTGTGGCTTCTGCCCGTGATAGTGAATAGTAATTGGGGGAAACTGGGAAATGGCGATGATACATATACCATTGATGGTATATTCCGTGGAGAGTTTTCACAGCTGCTGAGTTCCGCCAGGTGATAGTGTAAATGATATACGACGATGCCAGCCCCCAGCTGAGTAGAATAAATTGACTCCTACACTAGCAGAGGCTAGCAGGCAGACAAAAGCTTTGGAAAAAGTTCTTCAACATTCGTTTGAAAGTCAATTTAAGACCCAAAAATGTACAAGTATGCCATTGTCGATTTTCATTTGCATGCCAGTCACACAAACGCAATACATACCACGACGAGTATATATATATGGGCGACGCAGAGTTAGGGGAGAAAAAGTTCCACAAATTATGTTGTTGCCAGAGATTTTTATGGTGCTGGCCAGGCGGCCACGCACACATTTAACGCCTATTTCCCACTCCCATGCAAAAATACAATATTTCCCCCCCAAAAGTTTGCTCCAAAAACCAGTAGGAAAGCGACCAATGATACCACCTACTAGAAGAGAGCCTGCAACTTCAACTGACAGCTAGGGGTATCTGTTACATACACTTCCACGCATACAACATACCCTTGAGCACTTCTCTTGCCGAGGTATAAACAGCAACAGATTTGATTTTACTCAGTTTCTGATTCTGTTTCTGTTTCGGTTTCGATTTCAGGCCGAAAATTTTTATTGTCCAGCATTCGTGGCGGGTGTGGGGTGTGTAGGAAAAAGCGACGAAATACGCATGAAATTTGATTTGCTTCATTGAATTGATTTCATTTCATTTGTTTTGATTTGTTTCCCCAAAAATACGCAAGAACGCAAATTGGAAACCGTCTAAAGAGGGCGCGCGAGGGGAGGAGGGTCTAACAAAATCCGAAACCGAAACCGAGACCGAATCAGTATCCGAATGAGAGTGTTGAAATGAATATATTTCGGTGGAGTTCGAGGCGTGTCCAGTAGGGGTGTGGCACTGTGGTTTATGTTGATACTGTTGACTGACAAGGCCTGGCCACAGTTGCTGCCTCCAGTCACTCCGGTCTCCAGTTCTGTGCCTGACTTTTAGTAGTAGTTTATTTAGTTGTTGGAGCGATCAACACTTGCCAGATTGCCATGGCATTAGAGTGTCAGCAAATATTCGGTATTGGTCTGGAGTGGAGTGGAATGGAATGGAATGACTGGGCATGGCATGTGGCAGCTGAATAGCTAGGAAATGGGTTCAGTCCCAGTCCCCTGCTACTAGTCCGACTATGATTTGGGCCACATGCGGCTTAATGCCCCCAAAAGAGCGCTAAGCCTCGCTCCGAGTCCTGTGACTCATTCAGGCTACGGAAAATCCCCAGACACTAAAACAAAAGTTGCCTCTCAATCGAACCCTTTTTTGCCGGGCTGTCATCAGCGGGTAGCAAGTGCTCTTAAAGTGTAACAAAACTCTAAATGGGTTATCCCAATGGGTTTTGCCATACTCGTACAATAATGTTCTTTGAATGTTGCTTGATGCCTGATAATTGTTGTCTCAAACACACATCAAAATCTATCTGTTTGGGGAATAAACACAAAACTTTATGCAAGACGCTAACCGTTCCCCAGTGAGCATTTTAACCCATCAATTCTTTCCCCTTACGCATTACGAGTATTCCTGTACGCCCGTTGATGACCCAATTAATACTTCCACTGACATTTGAAATATATTTATGGGTATAAACTTTTCCAAGGCGAAACGAAAACGAAATAAAACGAAAACTTTAAGCTTAATGCATTTTACGTATCCCCAATGGGGGGAAAACCCAAAACTAATCATTATTGAAAACGTGTGGTGGAAAGTTCTCTGTAATGCGCCCCATTGTGTCACGCCCACGTACACATCCACTGTCAGTTGGAAAGCGGAAAACGACAAAACACACACACACACAAAAAAGAAAAAAAAAGGAGCAGCAAAATACAAACTCAAAAGTTATAACGAAATAGCTTTGGTCAAATTGTTTTACAAGCCAATTGGGTTTGTTGTCCTTTTTTCGGTGCTCTTGTGTTGCCTTTTCGGGAATCCTGTGGTTCCTAGCGCTTTGTCTGGCATCGCAAAAATCCCTTAAGGCGCTTAGCAAAAGGATGTGCCAATGTGACATCGATTTCTATTTATAAAGGGTGATGCTTGGGCTGTAGATTAAGTTTCAGCTGAAGCACCCTGTTAGGAATTCGATAAGGCTTATTTTCGTACATTTAAGTTCATAAAAATCAAACAAAAAACTTTAATTAAAAACAATAATTATAAAATATAACGCTGTTTGCTCTGTTACCAATCCTTCTCTTCCTGCTGCTGCTCTTGCCTCAGCCGAGAACGGTATCCCCTCCCATATGATCGTCGATCTCTGGCCGCCTTCTCTTTGGCCTCGGCCGCGGCACAGGCAGCCTTGTTGGCCGCCTTCTTGGTGTTTTTGTAGTCAGTCTGGGCGCACTGCAATTGCTTGAGCAGCATCTCTACCCGGCCGCGAGCGGCGTCAACGAGCTGATTCCTCTCGGCCAGCTCCTGTCTGGCTCCTTCGGCCGCTGCCTCTGCGTGTCCGATATTCCCCTCGGCAATCTTGATGACGGCGAGAAGGGCTTGCAGGAGCATCTGTGCTTGCTTGAGCGAAGTGACGGCAGCTTGGACATTGTCCTCCGAGCTTACGAGAGAGGCGCTCTCCTCCTGGACAACGCCCTGGGCCTCCTGCACCTCCAGCTCTAGTTGCTCGACGATCTGCTGCTTGCCCGCTAGTGCTGCCTCCGCCGCATTGGCTGCAGATTTTGCCCGGTCTGCGAATTCGTTCTTGACCTGATGAGCAGCAGCCGCCGCCGCTGACTGCTGCGTGTCGGAGGCCTGTTTGGCCTCCTCGGCAGCCTTCTGGGCAATGTTGGTGGAAGTTTTTTTCGAGTTTCTACCCCCCAGGCCCATTAGCGAATTACCGTCACATTTCCCCATATCTTTGTTCATCTTCCTTTGCTACACGGATTCGCGGATAAGACTCGAAGGTGGGGCAAATGAATGCACATTGACTCACCTGACACTGCTGACGTGGCCGCCGCTGTTGACGTTGCCCTGGCAGCTGGTAGCTCTCGATGGCTGTGGCAGAGATTAGCAGTACGTAGACGAGGGCCAGGGTGCATGGCGGCGCAAGGTGCATAATTATGTGAGCCTTCAAAGTTGCCGCAAGTTCTCCGTTCCAGCTCGGGCTCAAACATTTTTACATTTCAAGTAGTTCGCTAAGCCAACGTGGAGAGTTCTAGAGAATGAAATGTTTAACAAAGTTTTTGTTAGAAAAAAACTCACGTAGAGTCAGGGAAAGAGCAACGACAGGGATCGATGGGGGGTTGGCCAAGGGCCGCATAACTTTTCCGCGCAATTTAACTTAACGTTCACGAGTTTCTCATTTTTATTTTCTTTTCTTTTGTACGGTCTTTTTTTTTGCACTTTTTCTTTGACATGAAAAGTAGACTAACAATGCATGTGGCAACGTTTTTTCTTCGCTGTTGTTGAACCAAAATTAATTGGGTCGTCAAAAGTCCTTCAGCCCCGATAAGCTTTCAGCCTTATCGAAATGGCAGCTGAGGAGCGCCAAAAGAGAGAGAAAGAGAGAGAACGAAAAGTTGGAATAAAAATGAGGAAAACCCAAGACGATTGCTTGGGTCATTTGTGCGTTGATCTGTTAATCCGGAAAGGGTTTGCCAGGGTTTCCACAGCCTGAAAGCTACGGATTTTCCCCCCATTTGATTGAGGGCCTTCGTCTTTTGTCGATGGGGAAAAAGGCTACGCCCGACATTAGAAGGCAAAGCTTGTAATGGTCCAACCAAAAAAAAAAATGGTCTCTGGCCACAGTTGCTTGGGTTTATGGCTCATAGACAAGCTACCACACTAGGCGTATGCGTAATAAAATCAGCAACTTGAAATTCCACATACATACATCACATCACATCACCATTTCTCTCCCAATTAGAGATAACTGATAACTTTAACAGTTTAAACTATTTATGTGGCATGTGCAGCACGGACCACATTCGTGCACAGGCTTTGGATCCCCTGGCATCAGGGCGAGGAGGAGCTCCCATGGACACACTCGGCCTTGTTCATGGACCTCGTCACTTGCATTCGCCTTTTTGCGTATTCAAGTGCCTGTGCACAAGTGCTCTATCTCCACTACCCACACACACACAGACACACACGCCCCAAATGACACTCGTGAGTGCGGAACGAGGGCGGCAAACCGCAAAAAAAGAGTCTCCCAGAAGGAATCGATGTGCATGAAAATTTTGCCAGCAAAATGTCAGTTTTTCGGCTGGCTGGCAAAAGGCCTCAGCCACAACGAAGGTAAAATGCTCTGATGGCAAATAATTGTGGACTTGAATTGTGTTTTGCAGAGAACTTAATGTAAAAATATGCCATAGGACGTTTAATATCCCAAAGATCGGTGTACTCATCTTTACTTCCTCGAAAAGTTAGTGGTTTGATTTGTGGTTGCCACATTTACACTCAAGGAAAAACCATCACTTAATAGACAGATTTTATTTGTTACTTTTGGGGGGCAGATGCTTGCAAGAGCGAACGGATTTCATGCTATTCCAGCAGTTGCAACCCGTTTTTTTTTTCCCTCAGTGTATGCTGCCTCATAGCGCACAATCCCTTTACCATACTAGGGGCCCATCTGGACTGCTCCACAAATTCAATTTCCTCTGCAGTCAGTCCATCGAGCAATGTCCTGTGCTGTGCCCTGCTAACTGCCTCGTCTATGTGGTGATGCGGCGATGTGACGATGCGATGTCGTTTTGGTGTTTGGAGATACCACCTACATACATACATACCGTACATACGTATGTATAACTTGTGTATATATAATATTTATGCCACTGTAAGTGCTTATTGATGTCAGATCTGAAATTGAAATCTGTTTGGGGGGCTTTTGTTCTTATTTCATATGGATGCACGTTGCAGTTAAGGTTTCGTTTTTGGTTTCAATGGTTTTTGTGGACTTTCAATTAAGCAAGTTGGCATTTTGACATGTCTGAGCTGCGACTGAAACCGAAATGGAAACCGAAACTTGAAGCATGAAAAATATTGGAAATATGTACATGTACATCCCATCCATCCATACGTAGTACGCACACACTCGGTTTACGTTTATGCATGCCACACGAAATATTTATAAAGTCAGACACAAGGCCCAGGCCCCCGAGGAGAAGAAAACGAGAATGGAAATGGAAATGGGTATGGGTATGGGTATGAGTATGGGTGTATGTGGTATGGGGAACAGAAGCGGAGCAGAAACTCGGGGGCCGTTGAGGCCACAGTAAAATTTAATTTTAATGCATAAGCAAATTGAATTTAAGCAACAGGAAAATTGCTCGTCTGGCCACAAAGGTGCCGCCATGTGGGAGGAGAAGGCGCAGCAGAATCTGAAGGAGTAGGCTAAAACCACACACAGAGAGTGTTTCAAGTTGAAAGTTTTCACCTAGAGCGGGGGGTGCGGAGCGCTAGAGTAGAGTAGAGTAAAGTACAGAAATTTCTCAAAAGCCAGCCAGCAAACCACAAAAACCCGAAAGTGGAAATTGTACGAGTAGCAACATTTTCGAGACTAAAGAAAGAATTTCCAGAGTTTTGCTTTAATATTTCTAAATGGGTGTGGTGTGTGTGTGTGCGTGTCTGCCTACTTCTGGCTGATCATCCAAACGAACTCCTCGTAGTTTATGAGGCCATCCCCATCGAAGTCCGCCTCCCGTATCATCTCGTCGATCTCCTCGTCGGTGACCTTCTCACCCAGATTGATCATCACGAAACGGAGCTCAGCCGGCGAGATAAAGCCGTCAAGGTCGCGGTCAAAGATCTTAAAGGCCTCACGCATCTCCTCCTCCGTGTCAGTCTCTCGCATCTGCTTGCCCATCATGGTGCAGAATTCGTTGAAATCGATTTCGCCATTGCCATCGATATCGACCTCATTCACCAGATCCTGTAGCTCGGCCTCGGTGGGATTCTGGCCCAGGGAGCGCATCAGAATGCCCAGCTCGCGGGTGGTGATGGAGCCACTGTTATCCTTGTCGAACAGCGAGAACGCCTCCTTGAACTCTGCAATCTGCTCCTCAGTTAGTTCGGTCATTGTAGCTGATTTTTGTTGCCTATTTTCTACGAATTTTGTGTGTGTTTATTTTATTTGGAATTTAGCTGCTTGTTGTTTAACCGAAACAAATTTTGATACTGTTGAATTCTGTGAATTTTGTGACCCCAAGCCCCGTTCCTTTCCGTTTCGATGTTCTGGAAACGCCTGCCTAGTTCGTAGTGTCTTATCTCTCCGACATCATTGTCACAAAGCGTACGTAGTCAATGTTCCCCTCCGTATCGGAGTCTGCATCACGTATGATCTCCTCGATCTCGTCCTCGGACATTTTTTCACCCAAATTTGTCATTATGTGACGAAACTCCGCCTCGGCTATGACGCCAGTACCCTCCTTATCGAACACCTTGAAGGCAGCGATAATCTCGTCTTCGGCTGTCCTCTCCTGGTATATCTTTGACATGATGTATAGAAAGTCATCCCTCAACATCTCGCCGGATCCATCCGTATCGATTTCTGTGTAGATATCCATCAGCTCCAGATCCGTGGGAAAGACGGCCAAGGCGCGCATCAGGTATTTTATTTGCTTCAATGGCAGCACTCCCGTCTCCTCGGGATCGAACATATTGAAGACCTCTCTGCAATCCTTGGCCTGCTCATCGGTCAGCGTGTGGCTGTGGCTGACCCGCTCCTCCGGCGGCGGAGTGTTAAAGTCAAACTCATCCATGGCTGAGGTCGCGAGAGCGCTGGCGTTACGGGGGTGGGTCTATGGGGGGGGTCTAACAAAATATCACATAAAATTTGTACTATTATTTATTGCGTATAAGTTACTACTTTTCAAATTTCATTGTGAATTTTAAGTCAAAGATATTTAGTACGACACAAAATCCAGCCCTCACTATGCGGACGTTTCTCTCTGCTGATGTTTCTGAGCAAACGGCTTCTGCATCATGGTCACAAATTCGGCGCAACTGATCTTGCCATCGCCATCGAGATCGCCAGCCTTCAGCATTCTTTCGATAAGCACATTCTTGGGTTGAATGTTCATGCTCTTCCACACATTTACCAGATCCTCGCCGCCAATGTAGCCGTCGCCATCCTGATCGAACATCTTGAATGACTCGCACAGCTGGCGCTTCTCTTCCTTTTCGAATCGGTGCATTACGAAGCAGAACTCCTTGAAATCGATCTCGCCATTCCCATCAATGTCCGAGGCCCTGAATGTCTCCTCGAGCTCGGTTTCCGTGGGATTCTCGCCCAAAGTGTGGACCATAACGCGCAGTTCGTTAATTGTGACCACTCCGTGCTCATTCTTGATCAGCAGACCAAAACTCTTTGCGTACTCAGCCAATTCTTGTTCGGTCAGCTTTTCCATTACGGCATCGTATTTACATTGCAATTTTGGATCCATCGAGAGTTGAGTGCTGCCAGAATATTATTATTAGTTTATGTTTTTTTAATTGGTTTATGGTACAAGCTTACATTTAGTTGGTCCCAAGGTGAATTTTAACCAAAATTTAGTTATTCGGAATCGCAATTTTTTTTACTTGTTTTTTATTATTTTAATTTTTGTTGATAAAATTATCTGTGCTCTGTGTACATAACAAATACAGTAGGGAATGAGAAAATTAAACTAAATTGAAGTAAAATTTTAAGCTAACATGATTAAGATTTTACTTTTGAGCAGTGGAAATCCTTTCTGAACGTTGCTGCTCAGTGCTTGCATCCTTACTGCATTGTCTGTCCCATAAATATAAAAAAACAAATATTTTCATCTGTAAATTTAACAATTTAATTTACACAATTTAAACAAAAAGTAAAACCTTTTTATAGCCTCTTTGCCCAAGCCTCGAGCGCTGCGGCAGTTTAACAGCTTGGGTAATTACATTTTTAATTAAACGCAACGCAGAGTTGTTCCATTTTTCTTTTAATTTTATTTTTATTTGGTTTTTTTTGGTTGTTGTTGTTTTTTTTTTTACTGTAATGTTATTGTTGAGTATTTTCGTTGGGCAGCCATTTCATGCCGCCGCCGGTGACCTCCCTGTGGTATGAATTGGACATTCTTTTTTTCTCCATTGAGCTTTACGTGCAAATAGGAAAATTATCCAATGCAAAATTTCGAAACAATTTGCATAATTTTCGACATACACAGGCGGGGAGCCACAACCGAATGGCATAAACCCCATATCCTTGGGCATCCCTTCTCACACGTGCTCGCCACGGCAACAGTAATGGGATATTCTTGCTAATGAGAAGCAAATGCAAGGCGGACGAGGGACCAGCTTATGGACAGAGGGACAACGGGGCAAGGGTCAAAAACTGGAGCCACACAACAGGAGATTGTCAAGCATTTCTGTGCATAGATTAGAGTGGAGTTTCGGGGCAAGAAACAAGGATATATGTATGCATGGTAAATGCAGCTCGGGATGGTGTTTGTTGTTTGAGACGTAAACAGGGCGAGGGGCGTCCATGGAAATGACAACTGCCCTTTGGGGATTAGTATAATTTGCATTTGTGTTGTGCATCAGACAACGAGCATCGCTGCACACAAGGCAACCCGTGCCACAATCTGTTAATATTTGAGCTCACAGCTAGGTTTCCCATTATATCAAGTATACGCCACAGTGAACCGTTCTTTGCGGCATTACTCGTACGTATTGCTGAATAAAAGCGACTCAGTGGACAGTCCATTGATTGTTTTTCCTTCACTTGTCGATAGCTGTTCGCTTAGACAGCGTCATTTCAATTAAGCATATGAAGGCGGAGCTGGCCACACAATGCCCCACTCTGAAAATCCAATTGAGTGGCCGGCCAGTGGCAGACACTGGCAATCGCATCGGAGCAGCTCAGTTGCCAGCCAGTTGCAAAGTAATGCCATTCAATCAACCCGGTCGTGGCCAGAGCCGGGGGACAGAGCAGAGTTGAAATCGGAGCCAGTTGGCCCCGGCGTGGATTTGTCTATGCCAAAGCATTTTCAATCTGCGGACTTGAATCGAACTCGGTCTCCGGCTCACACACAAGTGCAGCACCGGAAATGAATTATGGCCAACGGCTATCCGTTGTGGCCCGCAATGAGCACTGGCATTTGTGAAAAATGTGGAATGCCACCTCCAGAGGCATCTACAACAATTGATGCAGAGTTCCCTTATGTTTTGATTTTGAATCGAAGCATTGCCGCTTTTCATTATGGCAACTGAAAGTGAAGTTCAGCGTCCTCTTGTTGTCCTTTCTTATGCATTTCGGATCGCTCATGTGTGTGCTTCTGCTCTGTGACTCAGCAAACAGTCAATGTGCTCGACAACGTACTTAAGCTGGATTGCCAAGAAAGGAGCGTAGAACAGACCAGCTCCTGTTTCTCTGCATCCCCCGCCTCCTATTGCCTTTTCTGTTGGTTTGTCTTTGATGGCACGTGCGTGGAGTGGAGTCAGGACCAGGCCCAGGTGCGATACGGTGTAGGAGCCGAGCACAGGCAGCCAGTGTCGACTCAGGTGCAAAAGCAAATATCCAAGTCAATGGCAGAGTGTTGTCCCAAAGTGAAGTGAACTCCAGGAATACGGCAACAAAAAGCCACAGGAAAGGGAAAGCCACAAACCAAAGTTAAGTTTTTAGGTATTTCTCGTTTATTTATCTCGGGATTTAGTTTTAATTTCTCTAAGGAAGAACACTCATAGCCATGGCACAATAAATGTATTTATTTGTTGCTCAAACTAAAGTATATGTAAAAATATTTTCCGTGTTTAAATTAAATATCTTAACTCAAAATTTGAACAATGCTTCTGTAAATATTACACCGGTAATGTAATGTTGATAAATTAATATTTTTGGAAAATTGTATAGCCTCAGTTTGGGAACGTCGGTAAACATTGAGATATGCGTTAAATCCGTCCATAAAGTCGTCATCTGGCACTTTTTGTTAAATAAAATGTTTAGCTAAATTAAAAAAAATTGTATTTAAAATAAATATTTACCTGCAAGAACTCCGCGAGAGCTAAAAAGCCACGTTAACACCATGAAAGACCAACAACCATTCATAGTATTGATACAACTATACGCGATGATTTCTTTGGGTCAAATGTGTAAAAAAACATCTATTCAATTTAATGGTTTATTTGAGCTTAGCAAATCAATCAGTGGCTACAAAAGTATGACTTTTCGTGTAGATAAATTTATATTCGCACTAAGGGGATGGTATAATAAGCACAAGCCCTTTCTATGCTGATATCATAAATGTAAATCCACTTTAGCTGGCTTTCTTTGTGTGCTATTATGCTAAGAGCATCTGCAGTGCTGCAACTAATCCTACAACTCAAAATCCAATCTGGAATATAACTTTGTTTGACTTTTGTTTGTTGCCTTGTCTTTTGCTCTATTTTCCCCAAGATTTTCCTTGTTTGTTTTATGGCGCAAATTGCATTCTGTGGGTGTCAACAAAAGCAGCATTCTCGGCTGTGGGTCCACGCCCTTTCCTGTCTTCACTCCCCTTTGGCCAGGGCTACATGAAACATGATTAAATTACTCATACACACGAGGCGTATGTAGTTTGTGTGCTTGGACAACAACTTCAATGGAGTTATTGTTCTTGTTGCTGGCATTTAGTTAATTAAGTTTTACAACAGCTTGCCACACACACCCAGTGCCCGCCCGCTGCCCCTTTAATTAGTTTTTAATTATTTCAGAGTTTTTCGTTGAACGTTTTCCAAAAATTTCCGTTGGGAGGAGCCGCAGACGATGACTCTACTCGTGTTGGACTTTGGCCTGGAGTTTGCTTTGAGTTTGAGTTTTAGTTAATTTTATTTGTATTTTGCAAGTATTTGCCACACGCCCCCGCCCACAAAAAAATAACTAAGGCTTTTGTTCATTTAGCACATTAATTCTACACGCTTTGTTTTTACTGCAGTTTGTTTGTTCGCCTGCTCGTTTGTTCTGTTTCTCCACCAGTCCCTCCCTTCGGAGGGACTCCGGCTAAAGTTTTATGCAAGCCCATTAGCCTAATAGGCCAACCAGCAGTCGCAGCAACCAGCCCAGCCCTGGCTTATGTAGTGTAATTAACTCTTGTTGCAGATTAATATAAAGAACAATGCAGTCAAGTTGCAGATATTCGAAAACATAGCTTACGAAAAATAGTTTCTAGAACTAGAGTTTAATAAAGTGAACCCAATTTTGGTTTTCTCTTTTCGAATAGACGGAATAAGTGTACTTAAATTAATGTATGTACGGGTTGAGTATACATTAAACTAAAAATACAATTCGGCACGAAGTTTTTAACGCTTGTAAGGCCGATGATAATGTTATTTTATATATATTTATAACAAAGATAATAAATTGTAATTTTATTCTAATCTTATTCTGTTGAGTTGTTTATTCGAAAAGCGAAAGTAAAACTTGAAATATAAACTGTTAGCGTACAAATAAATTATTCATTATTATTGAAAAATAATAATAATAATATTTGAAAATTTTATCCAGTTAGCCACATACAGACATACAAATGGATAGCCTGAGGTCAAATTGCCCCAATATCTAATGCCAATCTTGAATATTAGATTGCCAATAATTTCCACGTACATTGCAGGTCTACTGGTTGAAAATTAGTTTCTGCTAGAGTATACAAAAAATATGTAAGTAAAAAATAAAGTATTTTTCGTGGCAATTGATAATATTACTTCATGTTCTGCGTATGTACATATACATGTAAGGTTTATGTAGGGACATCAGTTGGGAACATCAGTTGCTGATTGAAATGCCCCAGCAAACAATTCAGTTTATCAACTTTTGCATGTTTAAGCGTGTCGGTTCCGTTTACGGTTCCGTGTCTGTGAACATTTCCCTCCAACTGAATGCAGCTGCAGCTGGATGGATGGAGCCTTGCCTCTGACTCTCGTCTAGAATAAATATTTACATGGACCGCTGTATGGCATTTGCTACCATAAACTACAATAAAACGATAAAATTCGCAATAAACCAAATGGAAAGCGCCAACTGCCGGCTCATGTGAAATGCATGCAACAAAACAAAGCAAAAAAAAATAAAAAAAAAAATGCAACAAAAAACAATAGCCACAACACAACACAAGCACAATTCAGCAACAAAGCCAAACGAAACGTTTTTCATAACTTAAATTGCAAAGTGCAGAAAGGGGGGGGGCAAAAGCGAAGAAAAAAATCAAGTAAGAACGTGCTAGTGGAAATTTCGACTAAAGGATACCTGCTGCTCCAAGAGGGACTCATACGACTGCCATAACGATAATATATAAATCTATAATGAGAGGTAAATTATGGACAGGGGCAGCAAATCAGCTCTACCTTTAATAGGTTCCCGGATAAAGGTCACCTACAACCATTCGTATATGTGAATACAATATACCCTTAGACTCTGCGAGTACCGGGTATAACAAGAAGGAACAGAGTGCGACTGCCTGGAACATCAACAGTAGAGAACAAAGCCATAAAAACAATGGTGGATGGAAGCCAAATGTGACTGAGTGTGTAAAGGAAAACTTGACTTTGATACACGTACATCCCATGGACAAAGCAATTAGAATTGGCTTTGTTAGCAGCCATGCCACATCATTTACATTTATTCCCTAGTCAAATTCACATACCACATAATAATTTTGTATACGAATAAGAACGCCCTCCTCAATTTGCTGAAGAAACCCTCCTGCGGTACGTTGGATTCGTCAGCATTATCGGATTTATCAACGTTATCGGTAAGGGCTGCCACTGTTTCGCTCATTACCTTGGGGTATGAGCTACGACTACAGCCCTCATCTTCATCCCAGTCTAAAAGGTCCCTCATGCGTTTTCCGGATTGTTCACAGGTTGCTGTGGAGTAGACACACCATATTTACACTCTCTCTTTGATCCCCGCGATCCCTAACTATGGTTTTACTTACAGGCATCTGTCCCATAATGGGAAATAAGGGCCAGACACACTAGCAACAGTAAAAAAGCCAACGAAATGTACCGCATGACGATATCGGAGAAACTAAAAGTCTTGTAAAATAAATCTTGAATGTATATGGGTAAACGATTTGTCACATTTAATGCTGGAACGGATTGCTGGATTTCTGGATCGAAAGTTTCCGCAAAGATATAAATATTATTTAAAAGTTTACAAAAAACAGCCGATCTGTTTTACTGTGTTACTGTGCTATACTATACTGCTATACTGTGATCATGGGAGGAGGCACCATTCTATCTATCCATATGCCATCCACGATAGCAAATAAAATATTAAAATATTCGTTCTAATCATTGCAGTATCAGGCATCACATAGTCGAAATAACCGACTTCACCGTGCCCTACTTGCATTAGCTACTCATCCTAATGATTTATCGGTAATCCGACTTGTGTTTTAGCCACTTTCCGCCTCAATCTGCCTTTTACCACTTTGCAACTTCTTTGGTTGTGGCACGACCCCTCGACCCATTTCACTGGGAGCCACCTGTAACAAAGTTCGTTCGATAAAGTTTGCCCTCAGCACTTGGCTTTCGCTTTGATCATCATATGGGTCTTGGGTGGCTTTCGCTTTTGGCCCAGAGTTTTGTCCATTTAAAGCCTTTTGTCATGGCAACATATTCAGACTTAGCGGCTTTCCGGGTAGATCCCTTTGAAGTGGGCTTTTACTTAGCCATTCTTTTCGGATGCTCCCCTGCATCAGCTGTTTATATTTAGGTCCTTAAATTTATTGCCTGTCAGGGGTGGATGTAGGGAGAAAAAAAAACCGAAAGAAAGGGCTTTTGATAAACGGGGCTTAGGCCGTTGGCCAGGATTTCTGTCTTCCATTTGTGTCTTTCGCTCCTTTTAATAATTCGACTTTGCCTGCTGCTGGCCCATATATCACATGAATTTCGCTTGCAGCTGCAAAAATTAAAGCCATAAAAATCTGCAAGGGCAGGAAGTTGTTAGTTGTTGGCATAACGAGAAACAGCCGAAACAGCATCAGCAATATTCAGCTTCTAGGGCACTTGCTGTAGCTGTTGTCGAGTGCACGACGCCGTATGCAATTATCACCCAAAAAATAAAAAATCTACCAGGGCCAAGAGCTGCACATGTCCTCCGTCTGGTCACAGGTAAGGTAGAAAAAAAAAAGGAAACAGCAACCAACTCACACAGCATTATGTGCTCAAAATGTAAATGTCATTTGTACCAACAACTGGTGGCAAGTGTTGCACATTTGAAAAATGTGCTGCCGTTGAAGTGGACCCCGGACAACACTCTCCACCTATCCGACTCCATGAATAAATGTTAAAACACAATCGAGAGCCGTAAATTCCGAGCAGTCATGAGCTGAAATAGGTGTGGAAATAGGAAAGAGGAACGAAAGAATGGGGTACATAAAGAGGGGAAAACAAAAGAAAAGGACAATCTACTGCGACGGGAATGGCACAATGGACCCAAGAGAATGCAAAAGGAGTGCTCCCTAATTGGTATAATAAAATGTCATAAAAGAAAAGAGCAATGCACCAGAGGGCCCCCCAGAGACGAACAGTAGGCGGAACTGATGATTGGTTCAAGTCGAGAACAATAGTAATGCCCATATTGATGCCTGTCCCCAGACAAAGCGATTCCGATTGATGGCAGCAATGGATGGGCGAGGTAAGGGATATTGATTTGTCCGATTACACAGAAAAAAAGTAATTTTCGCAGTAGAAAAGAGATTTCAATCAATTAAAGATAATTTCAGCAGCTAAATTGTCTACAACATCTCACTTGACAACACAGCATCATCCGACCGAAAAACAAAATGCGAAATGCGAACGAAAAAGAGGAAAAAATTCTCTAAACTGACAGCAGCTACTAAGATACTAAGACACTAAGCCACGCCCCCCACTCGACCATATATCAACTGTCGATGGCTATAAAGCTTTTGCCACTGCTCCTCCCAATGCTTATGCTGGTGCTGGTGTTGCTTCTGCTGCTGGTTCTCGTTCCTTCAGCGCGAATGTACAATCAACAAAATTAGTTTCATTTGAGCAAATGGCATGGCTTGGCAGTCAACGTCGACCCACATACCCAGACTCGGCTTAGATAGATATAGGGGCTGCGATGGGATGGAATTGCAAAGGAGAAGGAGGAGGAGTAGGAGTAGGAGGCGGTGGACGTGGCAGAAGGATAAGCAAACCGGCTCCTTTTGATTGCTGGTGGCTGGCGTTCGCTTTTGATCTCTCCAAACTGCTGATAAATGATAAGGTGCCCGAGCTGAAAGAAAAATGCTGCAAAGTGTAGAAAATTACGCCGCAGGTGTGTGATGGACCCATCAGTTTCATCTCCTTTTCGGCCCTGCTGCTGCCGACTCTCTGCGGGTGTTTGGGGCAAGTAACTTCAAGGCAACCGCAAAGCAAATAATTAAAAATTTTCCAACTGTTACGTACTGTAAGTAAAGTGAAAATGAAAAGTAAAATCAAGAGAAAAACTCAGCGGACATTGGAACCCAACTGGTGTGGGTTTTAATGGAGGCCGCTGACTGTGAACCGTTGCCAATTAGCGGCAAAAAATATACAAAAATGTACAGTGAAAACTACCTAACCTGCGTCGTACTTGACTCTGTGCTGCCTCCATATTCGTGGAGTACAAGGGTATGTTGTTTTGATGAGATGTACGATGGTACGAACACCATAAGTAAGAGAGAGAAATGCGTCTGTTCTTAATCAGTATCAAAAGACGAGAAAATTTAAGTACCAAAATTGTATTACCTACAAAAGGAATATAAAACTTAAATTTCCATCTTAGTTTTAAATTTCGAATTAAATTGTACGTTTAGAGGTTATCACTTAGTCGTCAGTTACTCTATAGCGTTCATCCTTGTTTCCTATACGAAGGACTGCCCACTGCTGAACAGCAGCCTTGACAGCTAACCCCCCTGGGCGGCTGTCCACCCTCCACAATGGCTGCGCGAAACACGCGCGGCGGAAGGGGGCCCCGACTGTCTGTCAACCTGCAGCCATAAATAATGGCTGGCTGCAGGCTGCTGGCGGCTATTTATAAATCTGTTTATTGCAACATCCTGGCGACTCGCGCTTGTAATTTATGTATCTGAAATCTAGTTAAACCACTCCGCCTGCCTCTGTGAGAATGGGCTAATGAGGGTCCGATTGCAGCACAACGGCGTTGGAGGCTACATATTTGCATAAATATTGCCTTTCCCTTTCCATTTAAATATCACTCATACGCCATGGTGTGCTCCGTATTTTGGTTTCTTACTCTTGAAGTTGGGCCACGGTGCACGGCCACGTGTACACAGTTCTCCCTTTGGTCAACTGACTCCCAATATTTTATTGACTGCGTTTGGCTTTTTATACACATACACACACATACACATCTGTGTGCCGGGGCAGGAGCAGATAAAGATACATAAAACCCACAGTTACGAATATTCACAGATCCAACCAAAATGTAATTTATGCCATGTCCCAAACAAACACAAAGCAAACAAAAGGAATGAAAAGATAAAAATTCGGGAAAAAAATATATACTTCTCGTCGATTGGGCATTGGGATGATCCTGATTGTTATATTTTATGCGAAATATGAGTGCACATTGTGGAAATAGTTAACGTAAGTTGGAGAGAATATAGAGTATAATATTTGCAGCTAATTGATTTTGTAAATATGAATTTAATTAATGCAATTAAAAGTTTTCATAGCTCAAAAACAGATTATGCTGATATTGCTATGTTCCTTTTTTGTTGAATTTCAATTTCAACGAAAATACTCCCACTAAAGCTGTGTGAATATTTAAATTTTAATTGTTAAAATCATATCTCTAACTTACTTTATCCAGAAAAAAGCACACAAAAACTTTGACGAAGGATTTCATAAATTACAGCATTGAGTTTCTTTCAGAAATGTAGCTTTAAGCCGATTTAAATTGGTTCGAAATGCATAAATGGAATGTTTGGCTTTCAAACAATAAATATTTTATATAAAATGCATTCATAACGTTGTAAAATTCTGAAATATTTCATAGTAGTTGAATATAATCAATATTTCATTTCTGATATAAGTAATCTTTTTTGCTTTGCTTCAATTGTGAGAAATCATTCACTGTTACAAATTTTGTCGTTTATTTATCCAATTAAAAAAATATATATATGTATGTATGTAGCTAGCAACCCGTTTGCGGGCATTCAAAAGTGCAAAATGTGTTGCGAAATGTCAATGGGGAATATCGATAGTTTTTTCTTCTTGCGCCGCAGCTTACAAAAATGTGTCGAATAAATTACCGTTCTGGGCTTTTGGGACTGCAAACGGGATAAGCGTTTCACTTGAATGGAGTTCATTTGTTGGGGAATGGAAAATCTAAAAACTAAATAATAATACCAAATGCCGTTTGTAGAAAACGCTCAAAACCAAATATTTGAGAATGCCCTTCCAAATGAATACTACTGAAAGAATTTCAGGGACATTTCTATTTCATTTGCACATCTTGTTCCATTCGTTTGTACAGCTCCTTCCTTTCTCTGTTTTCGTTTGCTTTCTAATTATATTATTTTTTCTCCATTTAAATTAAATATATCTTCTCCTCATCCCCATTATCCCCGCAGTTTAACCCAGTTTTTTTTTCTGCGCGATTTCAGTTCCCCTCTCTCTCCTCTACTGTCTTTACCGACATTTTCACTCAGCTTTCTTTACGCCTGGCATTATCTTTGGCTCTGCGGATGCAGCGCATTGCCACTTCGTTGGCCCCTGCTTCCTCTGATGCACATTCTTCCTTCGTCCTGGGTTTTCCATCAACACTCTCATCATTTCTTTTGTTTTGCTATGCTTTTTTTTCAACCATTTTTTAGTCATGTCATTCAGTAGGGTCCTTCCCCAGACACCCAGCCCCCACCATCCCAACTCATCTGTACACTTTTTTATGCCCTTTCATTGTCTTCATGGATGGCGCAGAGGAGTCGGACGGAAGAGAGAACTGGAGCACTTTTATACGAATACGATGGCACCCCGGTTGCAGCTTCTGTTTTACATTGGCATACATATTTGCATTTTTTTGACTGCTTTA